GTAGAGCTATGTATTTCAAAATAGAAAGAATAAAACAATGTGTCGGGTATAAGCAACAATAATTACATCTCATAGGAATTATGCTAACAACTTTTTTAAGTAAAAAATGAAAGTCAAAACTAGTATTATATAGATATGCACAATGTTAGTGTAAATACTGAACAGTAAATCATCGGCACACAGTCCACTTGGAGTACTGATTATAATGACATCGATGTTCACTGTACCATAGAGATAATAAAATAATAAATGTTAATTTTGAAAAATTTTCATCTAGATATTTTACAAACAGCTATTAATGTATTACAAATTGAAAAGAATCTTAATGATATTCAACAATAAGGGTATACAATGCGTTTTAAAATCCGTAAACATTATCGTCATACATTAGGCACAAATATTGAACAAGAACGTGGTTTTATTATAACTGTTGTTGATGATATTCTTCAAGGACTTGAAGATTCAACATTACTTCTTAATAGTATTTTTATATATTGTTTTTTTTTTCAATTCTTTTTAAGGTATAGTAACATCACGTTTCGTTGGTATTTATCTTTTACAAGTTGAACAATGGATTCGAATATTATCTTTAATTCCTGATGTAATTAAATTATGGGCAATTGTACAACAAAAATGGATGTATCTTGAAAATATATTTATTGGTTCTAATTTACAATTTGGTGAAGATGCTAAACGATTTGATACAGCGCTGATAAATTATATCGAAAAATAATGTTTGGTATATTTCAAATTTTAAATGAATGCTTCTTTTTTAAAATTTTTATTATTATTATTTTAGAAACATCAAGAAATTCATTAGTTAAAGATGCTTGTACACATCCTGGTCGATATGATGAATTAAAATCAATATTAAATCTTATTGAAAAAATTCAAAAAGTTCAAATGAATATTTAGATACAAAACGTCAATTATTGGATCATTAAGTTCAAATCATATTCAAGAATATTTACAAAAAATGTTTGATAATATTGCATCATTAAATTTTATACATTATGATAAGTTATTAATTTCAATAGAAAAACAACAAAATGAACAAATACATATAAATAATCAAGAAAATTCTATTTATGCCACAGCAATGATATCATTAGAAAAAGAAGAAATGAATTTTTTAATTCAATTCAATGTAATGGAAAAGTTGAAATATTCAAATCGTTTGTTAATGAAAGAAGCTATTTTTTATTATCGTTTTAAACAAAATAGACTAGAATGGATGAGAAAATATATTGGAATGGTTATTTTAGCTGCAAATCAACTTTGGAGTACATAGGAAATCGAAGAGTATGTTAAGAAAAAATAAAATCACNTTATCAAATATAAAATACGAGATCGGTTTTTATAGCTCAGTTTTGTATTTTGAAAATCAGTTTGTCAAACAGTAATTGTTTTTATTAATACAAATATCCATTGAAACTAGCAAGTATCATTTTTCTTAAATTTTATTTTCTAATTTTCAGTCAATTTGATAAAATAATTAAGCATAATCAACGTTCAGCAATGAAAACTTATGTTAAACAATTAAATTCTCAAATAGAAGAAATTGCTATAGAAATACGAATCTTTTTAAAACTAAGTAAAAAAAAATTTTTTGATTAGGTTCAAATATTTTCTTCATCAATTCTTTCTTTATATAAGATGAATATAATAAATTTGAAATAGTTCTTACAATCGATGTACATACTCGTGATACAGTAGATATTTTAATTCGTGATGGTATTAATAAATCTCATGATTTGTAAGTTTTATCGAATATATATTATAGAAATTCTAACTTGAATTTAGTTCGTGGCAATGCCAATTACGTGTTTATTGGATATCAAAAGAAGATAATTTATTTTTAGAACAATGCAATGGAAAATTTTATTATGGTTTAAAACGATAGTTCTCAATAGAGACTTTTAATGTTCTTTTGTTTTTCGTGTAAAATAGGTTATGAATATATGGGTCTTAATGGTCGTCTTGTTATTGCACCATTAACTGATCGAATTTATCTAACAGTTACACAAGTAAATAGAAGCTTTAGTATTGTATAGCAAACCTCAACACTTCAAATTATAGGCGTTGTCAGTGTTTCCTGGTTGTGCACAAGGTTTGATTGATGTAATTACAACATAGAATATTGAAAAGATATTCGTCATATTTGTTTTATAGCCGGACCATCAGGTAATGGAAAAACAGAATCAATTAAAGATCTTGGTAAAGCTATGAGTGTTATGTGTGTTGTTACTAATTGTGGTGAAGGTAAAATTTTCTTTAATATTCATTAATTCAGCTCACAAATCGAACCGGTTGTCACAAATCTAGATTGGTTTCATCACTGATAAAATTTCTCCTGATTTTTAGCTATAGATTATCAATCAATAGGTAAAAATTTAAATGGTTTATGTCAAACAGGTGCTTGGGGTTGTTTTGATGAGTAAATTATTTAAATGTTCCTTTTTTTAATATTCTAATTAATAATTATTTAATAAAAAAAAACAGATTCAATCATATTGACGCATCTGTTCTCAGTGTAGTTTCTACTCAAGTGAAAAGTATTCAACAAGCATTATCATTACATGTTAAAGAATTGTTTTTGAACATAATGAAATTCAACTTCTATCAACTGTTGGTATATTTGTAACAATGAATCCCGGTTATGTTGGTCAAACAGAATTACTTGAATCAGTTAGAACTTTATTTCGACCTGTTGTTGTTGTGTAAATAGCTTTTCATCTATCTTTTTTTTTGTAGAATTCACATGTAATTCTAAAGAAAATAGTGTGTGTGAGTTTAAATTGAGGTATTTGTGGCTGTATCCTAGGTTTTTTCATAGCAGTCAATGACAACAAACTTGTGCAAATAAAAATTATATTCAAGATGTCAAGGATATTCAGAAATAAATCAGACAGATAGCTTTTCTGACTATCGATTATCCTTGAAAAACAACTATAATCTGCTACAGATTTTTTGTGTGACGTACTTTCTATTAGTATGGCAACATTAGTGAATACATATGAATTCCATATTTTAGCACCAAAGAATCTGTACTGACAAAAGTTTTTTTGATTTAAATAAATGGCAGAAATTATAGCTAAAAAAATAGTAACATTATATCGTTATGCATCAGAATTACTTAGTAAACAAATATATTAAATTTTAAGAAAAAGTTCTTTGTTTTTTCTTTTGACATTTTAGTATCATTATAATTGGAGTTTAAGAAGTTTTAAAACTATTTTATCAATGACAGGTTATTTAAAACGAACATCAATGAAAGAAGATCCTGAAGAAATTGTTCTTTTAAGAGCATTCCGTCATATGAATATACCAAAATTTATTTATGATGATGTTAATTTATTTCTTACATTATTAAATGATTTATTTCCAAATATTCATTGTCCAGAAATATCATATGAAAATTTAAATCGAATTATTAAAGAAATATTAATCAAACCACAATATATTTTAGTTTCAGAACCATTGATCCAACAAGATAAAAGAATTTATTATCATTATTAAAAGAAAAAACAAAAAAGAAAAGATTTTATTTTGATTTTAGTGGAGGAAAGACAGTGGTGTTAAACACTTTGACAGAAGAACAAACTCAAATGGGAATGAAAACAAATTTGTATATATTAAATCCAAAAGCATTAAGGTTTATTGAATTATACGGTACACTTGTTCCATTGACACGTATATATATATACATATATGTTAGCGTTCAATTTCAGATCTCAATTTGAAAGGAGATCAATCCCGGTCACTTTCATACTAACGACTAGGTATATTGCATTCCATATGAAGGTGTTGGTTGAATCCAAAGAATATAGTGAATAAAGACTGATTTAGAAAAATGTGAATGATATTGAATCATCGTTTTTGTTAAAACAAAGTTCAAAAAAGTGAAAAAAATATTAGTTTATATCTCGACTGTGGGTGTAAAAGAGAAGACACAGAGAACAAGTACATCCACGCCGACACTCTCCGTCGATTTTTTTGTGTTACTTGCTTGTCATTAGATATTGTATTTTGTTGAAAATAAAATTTCATGTTCCATGGTTACCTTGTCAATCCGAGAATGATCTAAATTAATGTTCGTCTAACGTGCTATCCTAGATTGAATACTAAAAAATAATGTTACTTGTGATATACAGAAAAATATTATTTATATGTAGATGAATGGACTGATGGTGTTGTCTCGATGCTTTATCGACCAACAATACGTAATGAAAGACGTTACATTGTATTTGATGGTGATGTTGCTTCACTTTGGATTGAAAATTTGGAATATTTTTTTTTCTTCGATTGATTTAATAATTTAAATGTAGTTTCTATTTATTTTTATTTTTAGAATTNGTATTTATGTAGTCCATCGAGTGCCCGTCCAACATTCCACTTTACTAACTTATGACGCAAAGATTTTGGCACAAAATATTTACTCATTTTTTGAGCTACACTTCCTTCTGAAGTAAGATTGGACAGCTGTAATCAGATTGTTTCAAAAGTGTCAAAATAGTAATTGTACAAAATACTATTTCATATTTTCACTGTAAACTTATCAAATTTAAAATACAAGATTGGTTTTTATAGCTCAGTTTTGTATTTTGAAAAGTAGTTTGTCAAACAACAATTCTTTTTTATTTATACAAATATCCATTGAAACTAGCAAGTACCATTTTTCTTAAATTTTATTTTCTAATTTTCAGTCAATTTGATAAAATAATTAAGCATAATTAACGTTCAGCAATGAAAACTTATGTTAAATAATTAAATTCTCAAATAGAAGAAATTGTTATAGAAATGCGAAAATTTTTAAAATCAAGTAAAAAAAATGTTTGATTAGAATAAAATATTTCCTTCATCAATTCTTTCTTTATATAAGAATTCATGTACATACTCGTGATACAATAGACATTTTAATTCGTAATGGTATTAATGAACCTCATGATTTGTAAGTTTTATCGAATATATATTATAGAAATTCTAACTTGATTTTAGTTCATAGCAATGTCAATTATGTTTTTATTGATTATCAAAAGATAATTTATTTTTACCACAATGGAATGAAAAATTTGAATATGGTTAAAAATGATAGTTCTCAATAGAAACTTTTAATGTTCTTTTGTTTTTCCTGTAAAATAGGTTATGAATATATGGGTCTTAATGGTCATCTTGTTATTACACCACTAACTGATCGAATTTATCTAACAGTTACACAAGTAAATAGAATTTTTAGTATTGTATAGCAAACTTCAACAATTCAAATAATAGGCTTTGTCAATGTTTCTTGGTTGTGCACCAGGTTTGATTGATGTATAACATAGAGTATTAAAATGATATTCGTCACTTTTTTTTATAGCCGAATCAGCAGGTACTGGAAAAACAGAATCAATTAAAGATCTTGCTAATACTATTGATCTTCTTTGTGTTGTTACTAATTGTGGTGAAGGTAAAATTTTCTTTAGTATTCATTAATTCAGTTCACAGATTGAACCGGTTGTCAAAAATCTAGATCGGTTTCATCACTGATATAATATCTCCTAATTTTTATGCATGGATTATCAATCAATAGGTGAAAATTTAAAAGGTTTATGTGAATAATTTATTTAAAAGTTCTTTCTTTTTTTAATATTCTAATTAATAATTCTTTAATAAAAAAAAACAGATTCAATCGTATTGAAGCATCTGTTCTCAGTGTAGTTTCGACTCAAGTAAAAAGTATTCAACAAGCATTATCATTACATGTTAAACAATTTTTTTTTGGACGCGATGAAATTCAACTTCTATCAACTGTTGATATATTTGTAACAATAGATCCAGGTTATGCTGATCGAACAGAATTACGTGAATCAGTTAAAACTTTATTTCGACCTGTTGCTGTTGTGTAAATAGTTTTTCATCTATCTTTTTTTTATGGAATTTACATGTAATTCCAAAGAAAATAGTGTGTGTGAGTTTCAATTGAGGCATTTGCGGCTGTATCCTAGGTTCTAACAACGGGAAACGATATCTGAATATACGTTTTCATAGCAGTCCATGACAACAAACTTGTACAAATAAAAATTTATATTCAAGATGTCAAGGATAATAGGTAGTCATGCACTGATTTGTCACAAACATCATATGATCAACATAAAAAATGTGAACTGATCAAATTATTATTTTATGAAATAATCAGTATGAGTGTCTGAGTTCATTGAAATATATAATAATATGTTGAAACCTATTATTGACATAAAATATTTTGAAATTCAGAAATACATCAGACAGGGTGTGGATGTGGGTGTGAGTGTGGGTTTAGATTAATGTCTACAACCACACCCAAACCCATAGTCACATCCACCCCACACGCTGACACCCAAGCACTAATTCAAGAGGCCTTTATTCAAAAATATAATTATCGACAAACTCCATCGATGAATAAAATGTGTTGGAAAAAAAAGTCAAATAAGAAAATTATCTATTCGAGAAACATTTTACATTGAATAGCATTAAAAGTAAAATTTTTGTACTAATCTATTTTATATTGAAGCAAACATAAAAAGGAAATAAAGCATTAAAAACAAGTCATTATACATATATATATGTGTATAATTAGATGATAGAAAAGAAAAAAGGTTGTAAACGCAGCGCTTTTAGGACTGAAATATGGAACTCACATAAATTCTTTAGCCTCATTATATCAATACAAGAAAGTAGAGTGAAAAATTTCGCGTGGATTATATTTGTTTCCCAAAAACAATCGATCACTGCAGTAAAAATCTCTCTTATTTATTTTTGAATTTCGAACAGAAATTGTTTTCCTTTTTTAGAGGGAGAGAGGACGGAGAAGTAGTTACTATCATTTGTAATGAAGGGAGGAGGGGGAGCCGGAAAACTTCAACTTAAAACCTCCATTCACTATCTTCGAAAGTACATGTCAGTTTCACAAAATCCATGCAACCAGTGCAAGATTATGATATTGAGCTTATTCTGCTACGGACATTCATTTTAGAATTTAATCAATACGTATGATTCATTATGTGATGGATGATCAGAAAGAAGTTCTGACGGAAAAACTTTACCAAGTTTTTCATCTATCCTTTGCCAAAAAGTGAGCGTTTCTTTTATATTGCAAGGGTTTGGACGTGGATGTGGATGTATGGCTGTGAAAGAAGAACATACTCACAGCCATAGACAAACTTCCTCCAGCATAAACTCACTTGATTGATCATTTGTTGACCGATCAAATTTCAAAATACTTTGATAACAATGTCTTCTACTTATTAAATAGTGAAAATCGTAGCTTTCCAGCTCTTTCCGTTCTTGAGTTGTTCCAAAAATGGCCATGTCCACTATTTCTTTTTTTTAATACACAATGATTTAAACTTTTATATTTCATTATTTTGATCCGTTGATGCTAATATTATAATTCTATGTAAATCAATCTACTTTTAATTAGTTTTATTCAAATATGAACTTGATAGTAATCATAATACTTCTGTAAGAGGGCAATAGTCTTTGAAATGTTCAGAAAATTCTAGTTATCTATAAAAAGGTATGACACTCAGTTGTGCACAATTACTTCGTGTTATATATCATGTAAAATTGCGTGTCAGTTTTTTCATTTGTCAATAAGTCGTACGAAGATAAACATTATTTGATAAACACGTTTCAGTATCAATTAAGAATTGTTCAAGATAATCTTTTTGAGCCATAACAAGATGAAGTTCTTTACGATCAGGATATTTAATGATTGATAAATCTTGATTTTCATTTTTGAATTTTCTATACTGTTTATTATTTTTTCGTTTTTGATTAACTACAATCAAAATTTCCAACAATGAAAATGATTGAGTAATTTGAAGAAAAAATTCCTGTTCAAAAGGGCGTTTATCAAATAATGACGTTTTATAAACATATTTAAATATTTCACCTGGAAAAATATTTATTATACGATTATAATGTTCCAGTTTATAAAAATATGAATGAATATGATATTGACCATATTCTGTCTCTGGAAAATAATCAGCAAAATACATAATTNATAACATAGAATATTGAAATGATATTCGTCATATTTTTTATATAGCCGGACCAGCAGGTACTGGAAAAACAGAATCAATTAAAGATCTTGCTAAAGCTATGGGTCTTCTTTGTGTTGTTACTAATTGTGGTGAAGGTAAAATTTTCTTTAGTATTCATTGGTTTAGCTTTCGTCACTAATATAATTTCTCCTAACTTTTAGGCATGGATTATCAGTCAATAGGTAAAAATTTAAATGGTTTATGTCAAACAGGTGCTTGGGGTTGTTTTGATGAGTAAATTATTTAAATGTTGTTTTTCTTTTAATATTCTAATTAATAATTATTTAATAAAAAAAAATATATTCAATCGTATTGAAGCATCTGTTCTCAGTGTAGTTTCTACTCAAGTAAAAAGTATTCAACAAGCATTATCATTACATGTTAAACAATTTTTTTTTGAACACAATGAAATTCAACTTCTATCAACTGTTGGTATATTTGTAACAATGAATCCAGGTTATGCTGGTCGAACAGAATTACCTGAATCAGTTAAAACTTTATTTCGACCTGTTGTTGTTGTGTAAGTAGTTCTTCATCTATCTTCTTTTTTTTCTAGAATTCACATGTAATTCTAAAGAAAATAGTGTGTGTGAGTTTAAATTGAGGCATTTGTGGCTGTATCTTAGGTTCTAACAACGGGACACGATATCTGGATATACGTTTTCATAGCAGTCAATGACAACAAACTTGTGCAAATAAAAATTTATATTCAAGATGTCAAGGATGATAGGTAGTTATGCATTAATTTGTCACAGACACTATATGATCAACATAAAAATCGTGAACTGATCAAACTGTAATTTTGGGAAATAATCAGTATGAGTATGACATAATAGTTTGTTGAGACCTGTTAGTGATATAAAATATTTTAAAATTCAGAAATAAATCAGACAGATAGTTTTCTAATGATCGATTATCCTTGAAAAACAACTATAATATCTACTACACATTTTCTGTGTGACGTACTTTTTGTTAGTATGGCAAGACTAGAGAGTACATATGAATTCCACATTCTAATCCAACAGGATCTGCACTGACAAGATTTTTTTTCATATAAATAAATTTACTTTCAGTGTTCCCGATATGCAATATATTGGAGAAATAAAATTATTTGCTAATGGATTTATACACGCAAAAATTTTAGCTAAAAAAATGGTAACATTATATCGTTATGCATCAGAATTACTTAGTAAACAAGTATACTAAATTTAAAGAAAAAGTTTTTTTTCTTTTTTTTTTGTCTTTCTTTGATATTTTAGTATCACTATGATTGGGGTTTAAGAAGTTTTAAATCTGTTTTATCAATGACAGGTTATTTAAAACGAACATCAATGAAAGAAGATTCTGAAGAAATTGTTCTTTTAAGAGCATTACGTGATATGAATATACCAAAATTTATTTATGATGATGTTAATTTATTTCTTACATTATTAAATGATTTATTTCCAAATATTCATTGTCCAGAA